AAGCAGAAAATTTTCAAAAACTTTTCATAGTGAAGTTTATAACATTTCATATAGATTCATAAAATTATTTATATCTGAAAATTTACAATACATATATATGTATTATAAAATACTATTTCACAATTAATATTACACAATGGCTATTTCTTCTAGCTTAGCTCGAGCGGAATCCATTAAATTAAGATAATGGGTTCTCGGAATTTCATAAAGAAACTCCGTGCAAAATTTCAGGCTTGTCATGCTAATAAATTTAACTACGAGTTTCAGAACTACTATCATTAAATATTTATTATATTAAAAGATATGCATACAGATTTGAACCTATTATAATCTGTTCTAGAGAGAATCACCTTTCTTCTAAAACATTATATATATATATATATATATATATATATATATATATATATATATATATATATATATATATATATATATATATATATATATATATATGTATATGTATATGTATAATTCTTGTTGTCAAAAACAAATAATTACAACAAAGAATAAATAAAAAAATAATATATTATATTCATTAACTTATAGTAAGTATATTTAATACATCTACAAATTACTTCACCTTATAGCTACATGTGTACAAATATATTTAATTGCTTTGTCATTACATGTACAAAGAGACATAAATCTTCTGAAACCGTGCATTCAATATGTTTGTTGTAATATTTATTGTATAATGATTGCTGCAGGGATTAACTCTTACTGACAATTAAATAAATTATTTAAAGGTTTTACTATTACGATAACTGTTTTCATTTCACAAGTCTTAGTAAACGATGTAATCGTGTAAATATATTAAATACTAGTCTTTACATCCCCGGAATATATTGATATTGCTTGGAATATAATAGCTTATGTTTTTCTCCACCTCAAAAACTTACATCAGTATATCAAATTTCATGACGATTAGTTGAGTCATTAAGCTACCAAGAGGCAACAAATAAACATAGTCACGTTTACGTTAAGTAGAACACGATAATTTCGCTATATACTCGTACTTCAAATCGTAAATAAATCGTATACCTACTGTTACTGAAATGCCATTTTGTAAATATACATCTCTAAAATTAAATAATTTATAAATAAGTTATGATAAAGACATTTGAGATGAGGCTGAATTCGAAATGTCATTTTCTAATATTATCTTAGACGTCGCGTATATTATGATACTACAGTCGAATATCAATGAAATATTTGTTCGCAACTCGTGGTTTGCACACGTTCACGTTTACAGGTCATACTGCCACTTCAATACTACTACGTACTTCTTTCTACGTTATTAGGGAGTTTCATATCTGATAAGCATACACGCCCGTTTAGAACTTCTTTTATACAACATCTCACTATCATTTGTAACCATGTCCGTAGTAGCTAGGGGTTGGGGGGGGGGGGATATTGATGGGGTAATGTCCTACCTTAAAAAGCCCAAAGTCCTACAGACAAAACAGATTCGCTTTTTCGAAGTCACTTAAGAAGGTTTCTGCTCTACTAAAAAGTTTTTTTGCCCTTTCCTAAACTCGGGTCTAGCTACGGCCCTGTTTGTAACTTTTTATGCAACCTACTGAAATTTTTAAAGCAATACAATCCATCGCCTTTTCATCTTTTATTACTACCTACACCATATATTCTTTAATTATTGTGTTTCTATTTTTTTCTTAAACTAGTGAAAAGTAATTACTGTAGTTATAAATATATTGTAATTGTAGCATATTTTACCTAATTTCATGAATTGTTTAATTATATCTCCAGAAAAATCCTGATATGTGATTTATCAAAGTAAACAATTATTGAGTTTGATTCCATTTAATTATTACATTTAAGATCATTGTATGATCTTATACTTTTTTAATATAGCGGTCATCTCTACATACCTATATGAAGCACATGCTATAGTGACCTACATTGACTGTAGGTCGCATGGACGACAATGGCGAATATTTGTTTGGATGTTTGTCAATATGCGGTTATGTTTGACGACCCATTAGAGCGGTTCGATTGTTATGTATGAGCCGTTTACCAATGTCTGAAACCCGAGATTATTATTGGAAATACTTCAATCTTAATAAAGGTTTTCAATTTCGTATACAAGAAGTTACAATGCTATTCTGATAGTATTCTAAATATTAGTAAGTGAAGATGTTTACAAGAAATTTAATATACCTACCGTTACATTATATCCTAATTTAAAGTAGAGGGAAAAGAATTGTTAGTAATGTGGGCTACCTGTCCCATTACTAGCAATATACCCTGTCAGATTAACCTCCACGTGGTCCTCTCTGAAAAAAAATTGTACTGAATCCAGGCATATTCTTCACGGTGGGCTAACTGACCTGCCTTTTCATCCCTCACTGGTGCCCCGACAGCATATACCGTTAGAGTAAGCGAGGTTACCATTCCATTGTCATCCATTAAAAAAATAATTTAATGTATATAATACTTTTAATTATGTTTATTTACAAAGTGAATCACTAGGTAGGTATATATATTTTTATTTACAAGTAAATTCATGTAATTTTAACAAAACTCACAACTTTTGTAAATTTTATAAGTTTATTACAAATTTTACAAAAACTAATACGTACTTATAATAAATTTTGCATGTTTGTAATTAAATATATACCAAATATTTTATTTTAATTTGTCACCTGTATTAATTTTTGCAAAAAAAAAACAAGACATTTAAACACTTAAAATTTTTAGTATCTAGTTAAACTTCTACAAAGAAGTGGATAGTAAGAAGTAAGAAGATAGTAGGAAGTAAGAAGAAGATATAATATTGCAGACAGAAAAAATAATTTCAAATCTAAACATTTTAATCGGAAATTTAGCTATTACTTAATAATAACACTCTCACAAAATCAGTAAATTTTTAATAAAATCTCTCTAACATATTCCTGAACCCTACTAATTTGCCTCATTCATCTGTCTATTTATGTAAACTAAACTGTGTAGTATAGTTACATAGATAATATTTACAGCGTATAAATAACATTCATTTTGCAAACAAGGAAAAAATATTTACCATAAGTCATATAGTATTCTCACAGATGGTTCGAAGGATCACGTAAGGACACGAAACTTTATTTGCGCAAATAGCATTTTTAAATTCACTCTAATTGACTTCAAAAGACTTTGACGTACTTTACATTTTACGTACTTTGTACTATCCAAAACCTAAGACAAAGAGAATTACAGTGTATCATATTAGAAAATGTCCTAAATTTCTAACCAATTTCGGACTTGATGATTCAGGCTAGAATATTAGCCTAAATCGTGTCTGTTTAATAGAATTAAATAAAATTCAATTCAAATGCAATGCACTTGTGAAATAGGACAAACACTACCCTATATGTTCAATCCAGATTGTTATGCACTTGAACACAAGATTTAATAATATATAATAATAAAAAAATCGTTTAGATCTTTAAGCTCAAACAAAAATTCAAACTGTTAGAGAAATATTTTTATATATTCATATTTATAATTGGTAGTTTAGTAGGAAAAAAATACATTCCAAGTACGTACAGATTATATTTAGATGCTTGATTATTCTCTCGATTAACAAATTGCCCATATTTACCATCTTTCTATTATTCTGTCAGTATGGGCATAAGAACAAGAGATAAAATAAACGAGAAAAATGCCAATGAAAGCAGAAAAATCAGAACAATGTGAATAAAAAATTAAATTGTTTAAAATATTTTACAAATTTAAGTAATAAAACTGTAACAAGACGATGTCTATACGTAGAATATATTTGAAAAAAAAAATGATACAAGTGGATTTAATAAATGCTATAGAATCCAAAACAACATATTTTTAGATTTTACGTCTGTTTATCTGTCTGTATGTTTGTTTCAGCGACAAGCAAATACTACTGTGCCAAATTGAATACGGTTATACCTATTTAGTTGCCAATATTGAACAACACTATCACGTATTCGCAATGCAATTTTAATCACCGAAATTACACATTTGTAGGGTATCATTTTTTACTTTACAATGCTTATTGTTTGATACCGGCCGTATATAATATCAACGAGGGAACGATTTACGAATTACCTATCACCTTCTCCCAAAGTGCGCCATTAAGCCGTGACTTGCGTAGGTATCTAATGTGGTCGTTATTATATAAACACGAGATGAGAAAAAAGCCGATTGTGATTTAAAGTGTCCCTTCAAATCTTTAAGTCTGTTCTACTTTAAAGGACCACCTATTTCACGACACATTTATCACAGTATAAATATCTGTTACGTAATAACTAAATAGTGGGTAGTTTAATACAATCAACCCAGTAGCCGCCTATAAACAATGAATAGCACTATATCTTTAGTAACCACACAAAAGACTATGAAACAAATTAATCGAATCAAATTAGGTTTTGTTTTCTTTGTGTGAAGTGTCGTAATGCAGCGAACCAAAATATACACTCCGAGTACAATGAGCTAACCCTCAACAATAAGTTTCCCGTAAGTTGTATTTATGTTTTTACAAAGCATCATGAATGACAACGTATGACAGTGAATGCCTTCGACACCAACTTTTATGATAGTCATATTTTTACCGAAACTGGCATAAAAATTGAAAAGGAATCATCATTCATCAATTAGTTACAGAGTCAAAATATTTGTTGACAAAGCCTGCGTAATTGTAGTGCTACATTTGGAAACACTCGCTACGAAGCTACCGTAACGCCCGCAATTTGTTTCCATTGTTCTACGAACATAATGTCGAAAGGTAAACGTAATGTTTATTTACAGCAATTGTCCCTGCCCGCACACTGAAGAGCTGTTTTCATAACAGAAGAAGTTTCATAAAACCATTGTTTCTATGACAACTTCCTCACAGCTATAACTGGGTTGCCTTATGCAATTCTCGGATAACATTGGAAACTTCTATTGAATACACTTCACTCAGCCGTCGGTCCAACATCTTGGTTACATGCCAGGATGAAATTCACTGGTAATCAGTATACACTCACCTGTGTCATCAGGCGATCAGCTCCAGTACCCTCGTCATCCTTGAAATCGATGTCCGGGTTATAATTAGGCACTAAGTCTTTGAACTTCTTGTCGTGTCTGGTGATGCGACCCTCAGAGGGGCCGCTGGCCATTCTGTTGTTTTCACTGGTGTTAGGATCATGCTGGCCGTTGACGAAGGGATCGACACGGCGCATTGGGGGGCGGCTATTGAAGCCACGGCCGGGGCCACATGCCGCCGCCGCGCCCAGCCACAGTAACATCACCGACAGCCTCATCTCGCAGACATCACTGAACGCGCGCTCGACGCACGACCAACGCGCGCCGCGACTTGAGCGACACTGAGAGCCGGCTCTGCAGCCCGGTGCGATCGTAGGATCACCACCGGGCCCGAAGCCTGCAACCCTTGCGTGCCGCCACACTTACCCGAACCACCGAGTCATCACGCACCACATCGCAATTTACCGCCTTGCAGATTCATTTCGGACAATGCAATTGCCAATAGCATTAACAAAATCACATCAATCGTTACTGTCAAAAATATATACGTACCAAAAATAATGTTTTAATTATTATAACAATTTACTTTTGATACACATTATTTTGAATGCTCTGAAATTTATAAAAAGAAAATTTGAAAAATTTTGAACAATCGCTGTATTTTCTTATATTAGCATGAACACGTGGCTATTTTGATTTAAAAAAAGTTGTAAATTAAAGTAGTCATAATGTAGGTAAAAAAGATAGATGTAAAGAATAAATTATTAAGTATAATCATACCTCTATTCAGTATATTTGACTATACCTATAAAATAGTATGATTCGTAATTGACCACTAGCTTGTTTATTGTTCGGACTCAAAAATTTTGATTAGACATGTGATATTTTATGCTCATCTATGCCAAAAATTACCTATTAATATTAGATAATTACAGTTTTAATCCCCTCGTTTTAAATAAAATAGTAATTAAAATAAATCACAACATTTTAAGAAAATATGTTTATGATTGGATGGTTATAGGATAATCAAAGTGATGAAGATAATGCTACTAAATTAAATTTGTAATGATGTTTGTATGTTTGTACTCAATATCACTTAAATGTCTGAACGAATTTTAATGAAATTCGATACAGGAATAGGCTCATAGATATAGATTGATGCTTACGAATGAATGCGGGAGAAATGGCTAATACTCGATTATGCTAACATTCCATTAATTTTTATTACAGGGTGTAAGACTAGCACCGTCACTCGGATTAATTCGATTTATCAGTAGTGTTTTACTCGTACATCATCGGAGAGTTATTCGTAAATTTCAATTAAGATACAAAGTTGTTGGTATCGACCAATTAAAGCGCATTAATATTTTATTACAGTTCTGTATATAAATTTAACTTTAAAATGTACCAAACTGTTATTGTAGTTTATTATAGACTAAACCGACCTATCATTATTAGAATGATGAAGGATAAAGTCTGAAGAAGTCAAAAATTGTATACATAAAACGAATAATGAAAGTAAATGAGAAAAAAGTAAGTATATAAGTATAGAGAACTTTTACTGGCACTTTTCTGCCTGCCTCGCAATGGACCTGGCGTGAAAATATATATAATATGTTAACATAACGCATTTTATCACCAGGTTAACTATTACTATGTATCACAAATAAAAAAAAAATACCTGCAACAACTATGACTGAAAAGTTTCTAATGCTCATTGAATGTAAATATTAAAAAGTGTTTTCAACATAGGTATATTTATTATGTTAATGTAAAAAAAAACAAAACATTACATTGTAACATTACATTGACACACAAGTCCTGAATATAAATTTAACATGGCGCATAAATAGACTTTCAAATAAAACGTAAATACAAGATATCTAAAAGAATTTAGTGACTACACACAAATTTACCCAAACACCGAGTAATATTACGCAGGTATCTACGAATTACTGTTTTCACCGCTGGTAATGTTTACACGTTCTTTAAACGGCGGCGGCAGCTGTAAAGTGCATTGAAACACAATTAGAACTTTGCCCCATAAATTATTAATATTACTCATGAGGTCAGTACAGGCTGAGTTATTAGGCACCTAACGACTCTTTGTCTCTCAAAACATGGATATAAAATATAACATTGTTATAAGAGAGACACGTGGGAGGTTCGATTAGCGATCGCCACTCGGTCACTCCGGCAGCTGTACCATTTTTCAAAATCCACAATATCGACAAGCCACGTCGATGTCTCCAACCTAATGACCTCTATCGTGGTTATACTCAATCTACCTATGCTTATAAACATAATTATGTAAATCAGTATGTTAACAGTCGCGAATGTTTATATATATTTGCGCATCTATATTTAATTTATGACAAATTTTACACAACACATGGTAATTTGCACTTAATTAAGCTTAAATAAGTAACCTTACTTTTAAAATATAAATAGTATCTAACAAAAATAGATAAGTATATACGTATACTCGTATATACATAAGTGAATAAAATTAACAACATCTTCAATAGCATGTGATCACATGAAACACATCTAGTAACGAGCGATTATCTGCGACAAGCAAGTAAACTAGCCACTGAGTGGGGGCGAACAAGACACCAGTGACAAAGACCATATAATCATCACTTGATTATGGTGTTGCCGACACAGTATGTAGGTACACTGTACGATCCTTATTGCGCTATTCTACATACTACTGATTTCAAAAAGAGTTCAATTTTAAATGATATTGATATTTTTTCTATCGAAACAATTTATCGATAAAGTTTACTCCTTTGTTGTTCCAATACCAATATTATAGGGCGAGAGGAATTGTTAGTCTAACAACCTCACTGCTAACAATATACCCTATCAAGTCGACCTCCGCGCGGTTCCCCATAGAATCCATTGTAGTTAATTTTTGTTGAATTCATGACAATGGGCTAACTGTCCTGTTTTCATTCTCAATAATCTCTTACTGGTGCCCTGCCAGCATCTACTAATAGCGTAGCCGGGATTACTTCCATTTAAATAATAATAATATTAATATTACTAAATATAGACCGAAGCTTTGGTTCTTTGTGGAATGTAATCTTAAAATTGTCACAATTGTATAATATTCACAATTTCCATATTTATTTCTATTTACAATTATCAAAGTGCGCTTGGTGCAATCTTAGGTTATTTAATATAAACGTAGTCCTAAGTTCGATCTCGGTAAGGCTTATCCACAAACGCACTATATTGTTATCTGTAAATGTAATTACGTATATAATTATATTCCTTGAATAAAATGATGTAAGAAGAAACCTAAATTAAATTATAAATAGCGATTTTAGATAATAAAAGTTACTATACTTGTATTTCCTTATATCGGAGCTGATAGCAATAACTTATAAAGCAGTAGTTTTTATTTTGATAATAATACCAGAACATCTAACTGATATGAAATCAAAAGTAACATAACAAACATTTTTAAATCTGCTAAACGATGAGTAAGCATATTCTAATGTTTTTAAATATCTATTTTTTAAACCAAGTTTATCATAGGTATATTACCTATATACTTTACCATATACTTACACTTTATAATAAATTTAGTTTCACTTCTAATTTTATCCTGAAACAAGAAAACCTTCTATAGTAGGGACATTTATAAACACATTTGCATAATAGAGTGTGCGTATTTAGGACAATTTGTACGCAGCGCAAAGTCATACATCTATACAATAAAAAATGGGCTGCATAAACAGCTCGTAAGTCATAGAAGTAGTGGCCCTTTTGTTTTTCTTCATCCCATTTTTCATAGTCGCACAGACTATTAAGTCTCATATCTCATCGCTTATATCTAACATGTTAGTTGATAGTAGATAAATCACTTTATACAATAAGTAGATACAAACATCATATCTAATAGTTATATTGAGGAAAAATACGCGGGAATTACAATAAATGCTAAATGAAGTAGTATACAATTTTTTTATCGTCATGAAAATCTAATTCGTAAGTTAATAATTTTAGATAAACGTTTCAACAACGTATCGTTGAAGCAATCTTTGTTTATATATATAATATAGTCATATCTAAACTAATATTATAATAAGAAAAGAGTTAATTTTATTGTTTGTAAAGAGATAAAATCAAAAAACTTTTAACCAATTTTAAACATAACACGACCTATATTTTATTAAAAAAAAAACCCGTGCAAAGTCAAGGCGGGTTGCTAGTATCATGTATATATGAGCAAAAGTTGTTTCAATGATTATTTCTGCAAAATTCTTATTTACGATATGATTTACATAAGTTAACCCTCAACATCACCCGTGTGACTAAAACTATATTAATCATTGATGTCATCAATCCCAATATCACTATAATATTTACATATTGTAAAAATATTATTACAGGCGGTCCCAAGAAATTTGTGCCCTTCAGGCAACTTAAAAATTCTGTAGTTATATGTAGGTATAATTTTCATTATAATGCATAACTTTAATTCGAAAACTAGTTGCAGGTTTATCTCTGAAAATATTCGGAATTTTCCATAGTCTTGGTCCCGTGTGAACCAATATTATTTCCGCACTTCAAACAAAAAAAGTGCAAAAGCAACGCGCCTGACCAAATCACACAATGCCTTGGTGTGCATGCCAAAGATAAGATAACTTTGGAGTTTTATCTGCAGGGCTGTTACGTTAATAAAATCTTGTCAAAACTTATTATTGTAAGTATTGTTCCTAGATTAAGGTAGTATGAGTCATGGATCTCAGATACGAGAAGCATTGAAGAGCTATTGTCCTTGAAATAGTCTTACTCATGGGTTAAATGCCACATTATATGAATGCGTTTATTTTTGAGGAAGAAAAGATACTATTTTAGGACTACTACTTTATTTAAAATACCTAATAAATATGAATACTTATGAATATATATTGAATACTTTTATAATATTGGGAATATAATTTAATGTAACCGTAATAATCTTCCTGTAAATAATGGAAATAGATTTATTAATTACATTGACAATCTCCGTCGTACAATGGCAGGCACGCTGTTTTGCATAAATTAGGTCCCCGGTTAATTTTCCGATCAAGTCAACTTAGGAATCAAACTTTCCTGAATTGACTCGAGTCCTAATTGTGCTCTCAGATGTTTGTTGCTCTATTCATCATAACACTGAATATCCACAGGATATAGTTTTTGAGCTAGGATAGGCGGATGGCTTTTATTATTATTATTCAAAATGATTGCTATGATAATTTGATATTTCTCAATAGGTACTTGTATAAATTCGTGCTATAATATTTTCACTGCGTAAATAGTATTTTTATATAGATTTTTTGCATTGCGAATTCTATTATAATCATTTATTATAATTTATTGTTTTATTAACAAAATTAAATAGTATTTTAATTAAAAAAAAAACTGAACCGATAGTGATAATATTTCTATAGAACCAATCTGTAAATATATCCTTTCAGATGAAAAAAAATTGTCAAATCGGCTTATAACTGTCGGAGT